AGCTCTGTGGACACAAGGTCCAAAATAACTCCTGAATTCTGTCCATTTTTCTCCATTATTACCACTTAAGTCAAAGTTGCCTTAATTTCCCATGGAACTTATTGAATTAGAATGCTATTTTTAAAGATTTATTTATTTATTTGAGAGAGAGAGAGAGAAACAGAGAGGGGGAGGGGCAGAGGGAGAGAGAATCTCAAGCAGACTCCACACTGAGCACAGAGCCCAACATGGGGCTTGTTCCCATGACCCTAAGATCATGTCCTGAGCCAAAATCAAGAGTTGGCTGCCCAACCGACTGAGCCATCCAGGTGCCCCTAGAGTGCTATTTTTAAGCTTAAGACACATGGTCCCTTAATTGGTCTCCCTGTCTTCATTGGTGACCCAACAATCATTCCTCCCTTGAGCAACCAGAAGGATTATTTTAAATATGTTAGATTGTTTATTTTTAATTCTCTCCATGCTCTCTTATTGCATTCAAAATAAAATCTCAACTCCATCTTCTTAGAAATCCTATATAATCTGGCCTCTGCTTATTCCCTCTGCTTAGCATGCCTTTTTCCAAACTTTTCATGGCAGATCCTTTCTTGTTATTCATATCTCTCATCATTGCATTCTCAGAGAAAGGTTTTGCTGCATATGCAATCTGTCCCACACTGCCCTGTTTTAATACAGTACACAGCAGATCATAAGTTCCTTGAAACCGAAAGTAGCCCTTTGAATTCACTACTACAAGTAGTCTGGCAACTGGACAATTCTTACAAGGTTCTCTGTATGTATTCATTAAATGAATGAATGAATGGATATTCCACTACCATAGAGCTATTTTGTGATATGCCCACACTCCCCCTCCTTATTTCTTTCCCTTTCTTTTTTTCCTTTTTTTTTTTTTAAATGGTTGATCATCTGATGTAAACTTACCAAATCCTCTTCAGGTTGGCTCAGAGTTTTAAGTGGATTCACCAAGACCAGAAGTTACGACTGGCTGCTGGTTGAAGCCACAGTTGCATGTCAACCAATAAGTTCTTGTAAAATGACACGTCTTAGTGCAGATTTGATTGACATTTGTACTGACTGCCAAAAAGAGCTGTCATCACACACCACCATGATACCGTGAGCCTCCTGGCAACCTAAACTCTTAATAGGATGACTGGCTCAATGCCCTGCAAACAGCACCACTGTTGGTAGGGTCTTCTCGTCGATGCTTATTGATGATATAATAGTTGAAAATCCTTGGCAATTGTTTGAGGGCTCTCTCTCCTTGTACATGCCATCTTGGATTAATTTATATTATACTGGATTCATCAGTAGCCTGTTTTTTCCCACAGATGTCAATTCTGCCCTCCATGATGGCAAGTAGAACAAAGAGGCTTTTATCACCGTGAAACTGAACGAAAGGTTAGCCCAACCAGTTTGTTTGTTTGTTTGTTTAGAGAGGGAGGGGGGAGAGCAGAGGGAGAGGGAGAGAAAGAATCTTAAGCAGGCTCCACACCCAGCTCGGAGCCGGACACAGGGCTTGATCTCACAGCCTTGAGATCATGACTGGAGCCGAAATCAAGAGTTGGATGCTTAACCGACTTCGCCACCCAGATGCCCCAGCCCAGCCAGCCAACATCATTCTGATTCAAACAAGCCCTAACAATCTGTGTGCCAAAGCTGCATGTTTCCGTAAAGTAGAATTAATATGACTTCTCCGTATACTACATGAATGCCATAAGGAAACATAAAGTGACTAGACTGAAAGTTTTGTGAAATACAAAATACCTGCAATCAGTTATTACTAAAGTGAAATGTTATTTTACTTCTCTGAAAGGTAAAACTTGCAATATTATTTTCAACTTTGAGGTCTGTGGTTGCAGTGTGGTTTGATGAGTATCTATTGAACATCTGAAGTAGGCAAGGCCTTGTGTGTTGTGGGAAATTGGAAGAGCTGAAAAAACGCAATAATGTGATTAGTAGAATAGAAAATAGACTTTTAGACAAATGGATAAAAAGTGAGGTTATTTAGTTTTCAGGGGGGAAAAAAGGCTGAGTTCAGGCCCAGTATATATACATTGTCTTAGTTTCAGAGAGGAACAATAGAGAGGCAATATTTCACCTGATATTTAGATCACAAAAGGGAAAACCTTGCTGATTCCAAGAAATAATTTCTATGGAAACTTGCCTTCTCTTCTTGAAAAGTTTAAAGGGCCTTTCTAAAGTGGTTTAGGTAGTTCCATCTATTAACAGGGAGACATGGAGGCTCGAAAGCTCATGATAAATTTAGGAAGTATCATGATTTTCACTCCTACTCCTTTGTAGTGTGAGTATAATTGTATCAGCTCATGATTTTAACTCATACTCCTGATCATATATCAGCCATAATGTAAAAAATAAAAAATAAAAAATAACAGTGAAGCTCGCAATAGGTTCACTGAATGCTACTTTGGTAAGACCTAGCTTTGAACTTCGAGGAAGACTAAAAAAGACCAAATGAGTTAGAGAAATCAGCTAGGACCCAAGAAACACTTACAGATTCCTGTCATCATGAAGCTGGGGAAAAGAAAGGCATGGGGAAAGTGAGCATAATCTTTAAGCAATTCCAGTTACCTAGAAACAAGTTTTGAACTGATTTTTATGTCCATGGAGGACAAAATCAGACATAACAGTTGGAATGGATAGGCAGGCAATTTTTTCTTAATAGAAAGATCATACAAGGTTGGAAGCTGATGATCTTCACATTCCTAGAATTGAAGTATAGATAGCTGGGGAAGAAGAGCAGATTGCCTGCAGTGAATGAAATTGAACTTGTGGTTCTCAGTGGGAAGGTGTTTGTAAGTTTGCAGGAATGTTTTTAATAGTCACAGGGAAGGTTGCTAACTGGCCTTCTGTGGGCAGGAAGCAGAAGTGCTAGATGTCCTGAAATGATCAAGAAAGCTCCAAACGGAAAAACTGTCCCATGTCCCACATCTCACATACCTTTGTAATGTCACACCAGTTATAGATACGCTATAAATATAACTGCAAGTACTTTACCACATGATAATCTTGGGAATTTTTTTCAAGATTTAGGTAAAATAATTTAGAAGAAAGTTGTCATGAAGAAGAATTAGGTGTTATTTACAAATTATTCAATAATTTGCTTTTTCTGCCCATAGTATCTATTTAACGTGTTATATATTTCCAACTACCTATTTAATTTTAAAGGGTTCCAGTGCAAGGATTTAATTTTTCCAATGGCAAATATGAGGCACACACACACACAAAGATTTAAGACCTAGTGTCTTATGCACTGAATTACAGTGAAACACAACTATTGGGGAAACTAAGGAAAGACTGTGTTTTGTTTTGTTTGGGATTTTCTAAGAGTTTTCTAAAGGTACATCACTGCCAGCAAATGCTACTCAGGGTGTCTGAGCTGCTTATAAAACACCCTGGATCAGACTTTTCTTCTTTTTTAAAAAAGATTTTATTTATTTGTTTGAGAGAGAGAGAGGGAGTGAGAGTGCACGTGTAGGGAGGAGGGACAGAGGAAGAAGGAGAGACTCTGAAGCAGACTCCATGCTGAGTGCAGAACCCAGCGTGGGGCTTGATCTCATGACCCTGAGATCATGATCTGAGCCAAAACCACGAGTCGGCTGCTTAACTGACCGAGCCACCCAGGCGGCCCTCCCCCTGGATCCATCTTTACTTACAGCTGCACATCTGAACATATGTAGTAACCGTGACAATTTGACACTCTTATGAATAGGCTTAGATACAGAGTCTAAATTAGCAGACGTCTGAAGCAGTGATGTCAGTAAGTTGCATTAAGTGTTTTGAAAATATTTGTATTGCTATTCTCTATACTTTTCATTTTCGAAATATGAGGAGGAGATCTCTGCTGTGAAAATGACACATTGAAGTGCATTTGTTTCCAGCTTGCCCGTCGTACACTGAAACTACCCCACAACAGTTTGCCAATCTATTCTCTTTTGCCTGCTGCTGATCATGGACTCTTATCTCTGAGGTCCCTTTATGTATCAGAAACTAAATGTATACCTCGCTACATGGAAGACTGTTGAATGTAGAAGATGCGTTTTGTGTTAAACAGTGTCACTTCCTAGTTGTATTTCATAATATAAATAATTTTGACACAACACTACACAATAATTTCTAGCTCATTTGCAAGAATATTATACTTTCCTCATTTTCCATCATCCACAGCCCTTTATTTTTCTTGGCATGTTCTCTTTTACTTTAATTAAGGTTATTTTCCTCTTTCTCTCATCATATGCAAATATACCTAGTCTCTTATCATAACACTAGGTTTTATTCAAGGGTCCACCTGTACTTATGCTTGCTCAGTTATTTTATTCACTTTTTCATTTACTTTTATACTTGTATGGAAGGACTACCAATTCCTTTGCGTCTTGTAAACTCAAACTTGTTCATTTTAATTATTTGTAGTCACAGGCAATTTCATTATGACTTACAGAAGAACTGTATCTGAACAAGTACATAGGGGATCCATACAATTGTGTTATATATTTTTTAAATTTTATCTTGGTTTTAGATTAGAGTTAGGACATTATATCAACATAAAAAATCAATATGTGGGTTATTTTATGTATGAATTTCAATTTGAGTTATTAAAGAGGGCATCACATAATGCTCCTATGAGAAGGAATGGTGTCTGATAGGGTTGAGAACACCATATTAGATAATCTCTAAAATCTTGTCTCCTCTAAATTCCTCAGACTCCTTGGTTTCTCTAATCTCACTAATGATGGTGAATACTCCTGTCTTTCAGCAGAGTAAAAATTTCTTTCATGAAAACTCATAATAAGTTGAACTTAACTCATTTAGTAGTATACATGTTTATTTTACACTTACAAAAGAGAGTGAACCATTTTTCTGTTATTTCACTGAATTGAGAAGACATGACAAATCAAGAGATGCAAACACCAGTTCTCTGGACATGACTATTGTCAACACACACACACACACACATACACACTCACGCGCATGTGCATTCTTCTTACCTAGCTTGACAAGCTGGAGCATGGAGGTATTACTTCCTCGTTCTGTGCAAGCGGTTACTGAGAGGTTGTAGATATCTCCTGGAGGCAGGCTGAGAATTGCAGTCATGACATTGCGTGTGACCTGCAAGATCCATCAAAATCAAGGGTTTAAACTTCTAATGAACTTGAACTAGAATACCACTCCAAACAACGACAGGGCGATAGCAGGCATTCCCTCTCTGTTCTGTGTAATCAATCTACAGTTGATCACAACCTTATGGATACTTTGTTTCCTTTGAAAATGTTATAAATTCCTCAACTGAGCCAAATGCAAGGTAGCTCTAAAAATGCATAATACCTATCAGAATATTTTTTGCAATTAGTTTTCTTTTTTAAGATTTTATTTATTTAATTGAAAGAGAGAGAATGAAAGAGAGAGCACGAGAGGGGAGAGGGTCAGAGGGAGAAGCAGACTCCCTGCCGAGCAGGGAGCCCGATGTGGGACTCGATCCCGGGACTCCAGGATCATGACCTGAGCCGAAGGC